TAGTGTTGGGTTAGGAGGTCACTAGGACTTTTTAGGCGGCGTGGAAGATTGTTAGGATGGAACGTTGAAGAGAGGGCTAGAGCTTGTAGATCGGTTGGGAGGAGAGCTTGGATCGGCAGCAGGGAAGAATGAGATGTCAAGGTCATTCTTGGATGATTTGATTAGAAACATTGGAGCGTTGAGAATGTGATGAATGACTTTTGCTTGAAAGGGTTGGATTCTTTGGATGTTGGATGGCCTCGCTAAACGTCACAGCTCGACTAAAGTCCCAACGGTCTAATTAGTGTCTTGATTGTTGGTGGATTACTGTATTCATTGTGGATTTGGTCCAAGTATCTTCAGTTCAGTTCTTGTCTTTTTTGTTTTGTGTGTGTTCCATGTAAATCTGCTGTCCAAGTAGAACCCAAGGAAGCGGATTTGGTTTGAAGTGCACTGGGTGGCAGGTACTTCTACGTGTGAACGTCACGTGCTCTTTAGTTCATTTAGCTTCATAGACGCCACCGAACACTCCAGTCGGTAATGAGGTCTAGGTTATCTTAGATCGCTCTTGCTGTAAGGTTATAATTGAAATATAAGAGAAAAGGAAGCCCTCGCCTGTCAGATAGGATTTTAATAAAAGGTACGAGAAAAGAAGAAAGCCCTGGAGCTTTAACAGCAAACCAAAGTGTTATAACCGATCGAAGAAACAAAATTAAAATCTAGCTCACCATCTATGAATAAAGATTTCTCATAAAATATAGTCAATGTATGTAAATAATCCAATAAATACATAACAAAATAGTTAATCATAGTAAACGAAACGACCGCGATGAATATTTCGCAATCAAAGAAACGATATCGAATATGAATGGGAAATTGTATGCAATTTAATAAGAAGAAAGTTTATTTATTTACATTACTGTATAGGGGACGTATAGGGACAAACAGCTGAGGTCATCACCTCTGCATTTCTCAGCCTGCAGCCATTTGGGCATCTCGATCTGACCATCCTTTTGAAAACTATGTCGATATCTTAAAATGCAAGCCGATCATTTACCTCAGGTTGTCAGCTACAGGATAAAACCTACAAAGTCATTCTGGCTAATAACTTGTTTTACCCTCCAGACGTCACACACTCATTCAAATGTACTCGATATTCCTCGGGGCATGGTTAAGCAATCCCTTCCTTTCGCGCTAATAAATTATATTCTTACCAATAAATTATCATAAACAGAACATTTAGATTATATACATTACAATAATATTTTGATACTTATATACTTCATAAAGACAGTTATTTATGATCTTACAAAGAAACATACATTTTGAATGGTATTTTTTTGATGTTTAGTTTTAAGACATGATCTTTTTTTTCTGTTTGGTATGCATAGTCGGGATTAATGTGAGTCGGTTTATGATGATTGCAGCAGAATACTTTTTAATACCTTAAATGTTTCAATTCTGGTAACATGGTAAACTTCATAGTGTTTATTATGTTGTTTGGTAATTTTTGTATAATGTGATAAGGCCTACAATTATTTTTAGATAATTGTCCTAACTGAGGGATTTTCAGGTCTGATAGTCGAGGAAGCCCGGTGCCTGCTCGCTACCGGTATGAATCGATTGCCGAATAAAAATTCAACCCCTGCCCGACGCAGAGCTCACTTCACCCCCTGCAACCCTAACGTCAGACGGAAACGATCGATAAGCTCGGCTTCCCAGAATTCATCTTCGGCATTAATCGTAAAACCACCCCCGAAAAACATTAGCCCAAATTTTGTTCCTAGAAAATAAGTTCCAATATTTTAGTAATTAATATGCTGTAGTAGTTTTCGATTGATGGCATAACTTCTATTCTTTTCAATACATGTGCTCCATGCAACTTTCTTTTAAAAGTTAATTATATCTTTCCTCTTGGTAGTGTTATTTTTTTAAATTTGTACTAAGTAACCTTCAAATAGTTAACATTTATAGCACATATATAAAAAATTAAAAACAAGAGTGGAGAAAACACCCATTGGTAGTACTCCAATGATACTAAAATGTTGTCTGTTCAATGAATACTTTTGTCATTATCTCTTTTACTATCATCTCATCCTAGGAGATCTCGCGGCCATCGGTTCTTCAGTCAGCGAGGAGGTTCGAGGGAATTCGTCGGGTTGCGAGATTTCTGGTGTGCTGGTTTACTGTGATTGAAAGGGTTTTGTGAAATTTGCGGTAACGGGAACGGATTTCATTTTGAACGAAAGGAATAAGTCATTATGTATAGTTAGGTTCGATACATAAATAGGAGCATCTAATATTTTTCGTGTACTCTCTCTCTCCCTCCCTCTCCTTCTTCTCTCTCCCTCACTCTCTCTCACTCTCACTTACGCTCACTGACTGACAGACTCACGCGCACACATTCACACTTTCTCTCTCTCTCTCTTTCTCTCTCTCACACACACACATACACTTTCTCTCTCTCTCTCTCATTCACTCGCTCGCTGTTTATTTTACTCTCCTCTCCTCTCTCTCTCTCTCTCTCTCTCTCTCTCTCTCTCTCTCTCTCTCCCTCACTCACTCTCTCTTACTCTCACTGACTGACCTGACTCACGCGCACACATTCACACTTTCTCTCTCTCTCTCTCTCTCTCTCTCTCTCTTATACACTCGCTCTCTGTTTATTTTACTCTCTTCTCTCTCTCTCTCTCTCTCTCTCGCTCTCTCTCTCGCTCTCTCTCTCTCTCTCTCTCTCTCTCTCTCTCCCTCTTTCTCTCTCTCTCTTATACACTCGCTCTCTGTTTATTTTACTCTCTTCTCTCTCTCTCTCTCTCTCTCTCTCTCTCTCTCTCTCTCTATCTATCTATCTATCTATCTATCTATCTATCTATCTATCTCCCTCTTCCTCCTTCTCCTTTTTTCTTCCTCTCCCTCTCTTCCTCTTTCTCTTTAATGATCGCTTGTTAACATTATTCTTGTCGTCTTGTTTACTGCATTCAGCCTATTAGAAACTTAATGACGTTAGCCTTTCTTGGTAGAAATCAAGCGTAATAGTGCAAATAGAGAGGCATCGTGTATTTTGCTAATAAAATGTAATGCAGTTTAAACCAACTTTATGTCATGCAATCAAATCATAGGCCGAATGCATAGGCCAAATCATAGGAAAATGTGTAGTCCTACGTATGAATTTGGAAAAAAAGTTTCCCAGGCTATGAAAAAATCGGTTTTTTGATTTAAAACAAAAGTTGAATTTACTACCAATCGAAGGAGAAATATTTCTAAAACAATCGTTACAAAGAAAACATAAAAATACGTCACGGTCTAGGCGAACTGTATAAAATCGATGCCGCCGTCAAGCATAAGCACGCATTTATAAACGAAAATAGATCCAAGTTGTACATCGTTCTCAAGTAATAGTCAGACAACTATTTTTCCACGAAATGGTTGGCAAAAACAGTCTAATGATAACAAAAATATATGTTTGAAATAAGGTCTCAAAAACATAATCCGGGCAAAATAATCTCGTGAAAGGAAGACCTTCGTTTGATAGATAATATGAACGATTTTGTTATGGTCCCATCATTAAATTGTGAAACATTGAGGAGAGACTTGGAAAATGATTTATTATTTTAATAATAATATTAAATAATAATTGCATTAATAATTAATTGATTGATTATTTTTATGCGAAATATGGTTGAGAGACCAGACTCAATAAACCAATTAAACTAATAAAAGACATTTACACTACCCAGAGTACTGGATAATTGGAGTAGTTAATTGGGGATAAACCCTACCATTTAACTTTTAAGGATAAACTGTCCTATTCACGCTAATAATTACAATCACACTACACGAGAGTGTGCGATATCCCTCGGGGTAATTGGGGATAAACCCTGCCATTCACGCTAATAAATTACATTCAACAATCCCAGAGTATATTCCTCTTAGTAACGGGTGATAAGCTTTCCTATTCACGCTAATAATTACAATCACACTACCCGAGAGTCGCGATATCCCTCGGGGTAATTGGGGGTAATTGGGGATAAACCCTGCCATTCACGCTAATAAATTACATTCAACTACCTCAGAGTACTGTATTTTCCTCGTAATAACTGAGGATAAATCTTCCCATTTACGCTAATAAACTACAATCACACTACCCGAGAGAGCTCGATATCCCTTGGTATAATTGGGGGATAAACCCTGCCATTCACGCTAATAAATTACATTCAACTACCCCAGAGTATTTTCCTCGTAATAACTGAGGATAAATCTTTCCATTCAGGCTAATAAATTACAATCACACTACCCGAGAGTGCTCGATATCCCTTGGTATAATTGGGGGATAAACCCTGCCATTCACGCTAATAAATTACATTCAACTACCCCAGAGTATTTTCCTCGTAATAACTGAGGATAAATCTTTCCATTCAGGCTAATAAATTACAATCACACTACCCGAGAGTGCGCGATATTCCGTGGCGTTAGTGGGAATAAACCCTACCATTTATGCTAATAAATTACATTCAACAATCCCAGAGTGTATTCCTCGTAGTAACGGGTGATAAACTTTCCTATTCACGCTAATAATTACAATCACACTACCCGAGAGTGCTCGATATCCCTTGGGATAATTGGGGATAAACCCTGCCATTCACGTTAATAAATTACATTCACACTATCCCAGGGTACTCGATATTCCTACATACTATAAATCGATCCTTTTGTAAAAAAGATAGTTCCACATTTTACTGTGAGTAGGAACTATTTTTTTAAAAAAGGGATTGAACACCGCACTCACTCCATCTTTCATCATTTCCACTACAAATCGTTCAAACTACTCCAGAGTTAAGCTTTTAATGACTGAAATGAGGATTTAAAAAATGAATTGTTTCTATGCTGTCCAATAAAGAACATTTTGATTTGGAAATATTGTTGCACCTAATAGTTAATAGTTCAACCTAGTGTTTTCAACTTTTTTTTATAGTAACAGGTTGTTGAATTCTATTGAGTGATTAATTCGTTTTCATTTCCAGGATGCATACACCAGATGAAGCAAAGGGCATGACCGCCAACCCGCCACTTTCCCTCGCAAACACATCACTGCCCAGCCCAGACGAACAAAATCTGAGTAATAGGTGTGTGGAAGTGAATTTAATCATTTACTTATAATGATAGAAACAAAATCATGAATATTTATTAGGCCTTTTTTAAAACTGACGAGCACTTCGTTAGTTACGCTTCTGTAATTTGCCGATTTCTACCTAAATTATGTTGACATCGTAATCTTTCCATTTGGTTGTTACTATAAAAACAGATAAGCTCTGTGGTATTTTTTATCGTAGTAAAATTAATGACATTCCTTTGATAACATTAACTTTCAAATTCTTTTCGATCATAGACTGTGCTGTAGAAGCTGTTGTGTGACGTTGCAAGTTCAAGCTTTACACCCGATAGCCACATGAGAAAATAGTCAATCAAGTAAATGTGTCTTAAAGTTTAAATTATGTCTTGTTACTTGTTAGAGTTAGTATGATAGCTCACTAACGAAAGCCATAATTAAGATAACGTGTACTATCAAATTTGTATTCAATTAACAATAAAAAAAAGCCTATTTTTCATGATTTTAAACATATTAAATTATTTATATATTGTTAACTTCGGATAACGCTGAATATTCATTTTGTAATCTGAAGGGACATTCTACGCATCGGCCAAACGTACTAATTAGTAGAATGATCCATGTGTCAATAAAAATGAAAATTTTGTCTAGCTGCAGTAGTTTATTGCCATTCCATTTGGTAAAGTTTAAAACAGGTTTTATAGCTGTGATGTATACACGGCATTTTCGCTAATACATTATTTTACAATAAACCCTTGAATAGAATAACAATCACCGACTTATCAGAATGAGTGTAGTGAACTTAGGTGTGAATGTATTTATTTGTGCGAGTGCATTATAGAAGTTAGTTTTAGGCTAGATTTTTGCATGCGTTTTTTTAAATTAAATTATTTTCAGAATTACTAGTTAATATTTATATTTATTACATTTCCGTTTGACATTTGGGTTATAAACGTTCAAACTGTGTCCAACGTTCTTTCGTCAAAGTCCGTAATTCTGTAGGCGAGTGACATGTAATCAACATCTCTCTTGGTCGAATATCTGTCATTCGGAAGTTATCTAGTCCCAAGAATAAGGTGTTCCACAGCTTGGGTAATTAGGATTATCGATATTCATTTAAAGATACGCTGTTATTTCCGTGGTCCTTAAGTGCCATGGTATTTTTAAAGGTTGAAGGTACGTTTGTAATGTGCGAGCGACATGTGGACGGGCATTATCGTACATTAAAATAAGATTGTTGCCGATTTCATCGAAGATAAGAAACACATGATGTTCCAAAATTCCATTGGCTGTCAAAGACCCTCCACGAACAACAAACAACTATGTGCGAGTCTCCAATGAAATTCTCGCCCAACACCATCACTGAGCTACGTTGAAAAGGTCAGCTCTGGGGAAAATTACAGACTTCGTACCTTTCATTCGCCTTCTCCACACTCTTTCACGCCAATCTACGCTCATCTGTAAAAAGTGCAGCAGACCAATCGTCCAAAGACCAATGGCTGTATTCTCGAGCAAATGGGAGCTTCAGACTTTCTGGTCAATTCTGGTCCTCTTATGGGGCGAAAAGCCATCAGTCCATACTGATTTTATCTTCTTCGAGCAGTGCGTTCAGAAATTTGGACACCTCGAACTTCCTGGAGTTGATGAATCGCTTGAACAACAGTAAGGTGCTGGTTTCGCAAAATTCTTAAATTCAAAAAACAGTCATCCTGTAGTTCTGTTACCCTAGGTCGTCCAGAACCGGGTCGTCTATGGTAGGACCCAGTTTCTCGAAAAGGCATCTCGCAGAGTTTCGTAGGGAACTTCGATGGCAATAGCCGCATACCTGATAGAACGTCCATCATCAAAAAATGCCACACCACGCACAACATCCTCAGCACTTAATGGCATTTTTAAGTTTAAAATTTGAAATTAAGAAAACGAAGATTAAAACTTTACAGTATATTGTTTCAGAATTCAAATGAGACTGAATAAACACTGAAAAAACCTTTACCCATATTTTGGGTTAAGGATTAAGTGTGTTTATCTCTAATTCATATTCCCAATTTGAAACATAGCATAAACAAATATGTATTGGTAAAAACAATGAGACAAATTAAGAGCAGAGTTTTCTTTTATCGAGAAAATGAAAAAAAATCAATTGGGTGGAATTTTCTGCCTGTCGGTACATTTTGGCCCAAAACTGGTGTTTTCTTGTTTTTAAGTTTCTTAAATCTCAATTCTGTCCTTTAATTAAGTAAATATGGGAACTACATTTGCATCTACCGCGGCTGTGTGATAATAAATCGTCCTATACCCTCGAATAATTCTCAGAGCAATTTTTCTTTGAGTACTTCGTAATTTTTTAACATTATTTTTTTTTCTACTGCGGATCCCCATACAGGTTAATAACGGAAGGATTGCTCCTTTACAATGACTTCACGGGCACCCTATCCTAGTCCCCAGTACATCTTCTTTCATCATGAAATTATGTTTATTAGTTGCCCTGCTTTTTCACGTAATCTTTCCATATGTAATTTCCATAATAATTTTCTTTACAGCCACACACTCAAGGGCTTCGGTTCTTCAAACTATGGAATCAAGTCATGTTCACCGATACAGAACGTTTTGCCATTTTTCGTGATAAATATTATGTAGAACTTAGGATTTGCTGGGATTGAATTCAATTTTATTTTCGACCGACCATTTCTCCACCAAGTACCTACACTGATTTGCCATCCTTCCAAGATCATGTTCTTCCTGCGCAGCAAACACAATCAACAGGTCATATGCAAATGCGAAGTCCTCGACCCCCAACAGGAAAGTCCAATCTAAGAAGCGTGCCAAAACCCTGGCCCAATACAAGACTCTTGTGGACATCCTTTAGATATTGTAATAGAGGTTGTTGAAAAGGTGGAAAAACTATTTTTAAATTAATTTTTGCAAAGGGCGTAGAGGTTTTTGGGACATTATAACCACTTGTAACAATATTGTATTCCAATCAACAGCATCAAATGCACCCCAACATTGAAATTTAAAAAAAATTCTCTAATTTCGTGGTCCGCTTGACCAATTAATATATTACAATTAATTAAGGTTTTTAGTTGAGATATCGAGAGTAGCGGCGTATCTAGCCGAAGATCGTGGGTTCGAATCCCGCTTGTGCCATTGACTTTTTTATCTCAACTAAAACCCTTAATTAATTGTATTAAAAAACTTGATTTTATTTAAAATTTTATTTTTCTATTATATTTCCATTTTCGTAAAAGTTCATCAATCTCTGCCTCCAATTGCTTAGCCGAAAGTCCGCCATGCATATGAAGCCAGTAAAGAATTCTCACGTTCATGAGCTTTTCTAATATTTTCCCCTAATTAATAGAAGACTAATTTAGATACGTCTTGTTTGTGTTCTTTACGCGGTTTGATAAGCAAGATGATGTTAAGTAATTTTTTTGGAAATCGACCTTTCTTTAAACATAGTTTAAACATGGCTGTCACACTTAACTTATACCTACTGTAAAAATTTTCTACAATAGTTTTGGTTAATCCGTAAGTTTAGGTGCTTCGTATTTGCATGCGTTGGAAACTGAAATGACCGACATGTCGAAAACGCCTAACCACGTTGGCTCAGGATCGATGATCTCCTGGGCACCTGGCTTAAGGGGGATGCTAGCGACCCATCATCATAACGGGGTAGGTGAACTCCCCTGAGGTGTAGAGCCCTTGGGTCAGCATATCGAAGTGTGACATCAAAATGTATCTTTTTACTAGTACATTAAAAAAAACCCACCTCTGCTACTACTGAAAATAAAGTAATAATAATAATGGAGAAGTAAGAATGTACGACAAGTAAAAATCAATAAAAATAAAAAGAGAGCTTCAATGGTCAAGTCCTCTAGTTCTTGGTAAACACCACAATAAAAAAAGTCAGCAAAAGTAGAGAATTGTTTCTAGAAGGATAGGAATATCAACAGTGTAGATATCGTGTAAAGGAGAAGTCCAAGAATGCTCCCTTGAGGGACGCCAGTTTGTATAGAATAGGTAAAAGATATCTCTGTACCCTGTCAGAGAGGTAGGATTTTTTGATCAGGCAGTAGGTAGGATGGATTTGATTGGTAAGCCCTTTGTTGAACATGCCCTGAGTCCGTCCAGACTCGCGGGTTTTTGATCTCATATACTCAATGATATGTTCATTTATTCACCTCACTGAAGATGGTTCAAAGTCGAAACGTGTTTTGGTGCCGGTTCAATGTGTTCGCTGACTTAAAATATTTATCTTATATTTGGGAATATACGTAAGTTTTTGGAACAAAATGTAGTTTGCCTGGATGGCTGGGTCGCGGGCTAGAGTTGACCTATCCTCGTCGATTTTCTTCCAACAACTATCTTAACACGTTGAACATACATGAATTATTTATCCTCTAGAAATGTATGTAAAATAAAAGAATCTTATTTCGATGTTAAAAGGCTGGGCAAAATTATGTGAAATTGTTGTTAAAGTCAACAAACGAAACTATCAACAAATTCACCGTTCACACCTGTCTGATTATTATGTACTTTTATCCGTATGTCTTCTGATGTTTTCAACCATGACAACAACTCCCCCCAGTCCGTCCTTTCTCCCACCATGAATACGATTCCATAGGAGAGAGAAATGTAATAACAGTTACGGTTGGAGTGCCGCTACGGTCACGTCGTGGGTTTTTTTTGCGGATGGAGGATTCAAATAAGGATGGCAATAATAACAGCCTCGCCGGTTCAGAATATCGAAGACAAATCGAAAAAACCCGTGTAAGTCATTTTTGACACGTCATACCAAATATATTAGTGATATTTTCCCTATGGTATAAAAGAGAAATTCCATCGAGGTCGCCTACACTGATCCCCCACTAAGCAGAGTATTCTCATTTACTTTTTAACATTACCTGCGATTTTTTGAAATTTTTACCCTAGTTTTTCCTAGATGATACTAAAAAATTTCGTCCACATTCTAGTATTAAATTACACTATCAAAACATTACTAATTAAAAATCATGA